TTAGCAAATCCCACCCCTTCTGATTGAGTCTCTGCTCGCCCGCCTGTCCTGGTGAAACTGGAGAGGCCTACGAGCCACCAGTAATCCCTCATTCATAAAAAAACAGAGCGAGGCAATACTTCAAGCCTAGGCAAAGACTTGTGCTTCATAAAGCACAGATTCGGCTTCGCGGAGTACTGACCCCGTCTTTGTTTTACAGATATCGTCTAGTCCAGGAGGCGGTTGTCGCAGAGTTATTTATAGTTCACCGGTGAGACCGCCATCCACAGCTAATCTGTTCGATCTTAATAAGACACTACTTACCATCGTACCCAACGCTAGAAACAAAAATATATAAGGACAAAAGTGATCGTTCGACAAGCGTGTAGTCCATAAAGCAGCCATGAAACATACAAGAGCGCGTCGAGACTGTTCCGAAAGTCGAACCGGGAATATTACCTAGTCTTGCCATAAATATATNATATAGAACTCACTATCTCCAGAAATAAATGAATTACAGTTATAAACTACACAGTATTTAACAAAGCTGAGACGTAATAACAACATACCAAAAAATTTAAACAACAAGTCGCACCGTTTAAAAGTTACACAAGTCAACAACTTCTTTAACCTCTACTGAAAACTATCAATCCTACAGATAGGACTATATTCTGCGGATGAGTCGATATACACAAGTACAAGGAAAACTTTATTTTTATTCCATAACATTAAACGTTTATAACGCTTTACTTTATATAAACATTTAATAGCATTTTAAAAATGTGAATCTCAGTCAAAACTAATTCAATTAAAAAAATTCGCTACTACCGGCTGTGTTTAATACTGTCGCAAATTTTCTATTATCTGCATCGAATCACACCATTTTAAAACCATAAGAATATGTGTAACAGAGATTGGCGCAGAAACGTGAAAATACAATGAGGATGACAAGTTCTAAATAGAAATGTAATCTTGGTGTATTGCTATTGTAATCATATCTATGGCCAGACTGCGCAGTATTACTACTTCATTTATTTACCTAACTTATGCGGAAAACAATTTGATTTACTAAGCACAGTGCCAACTATAGCGCTTTCGGAAATTGCTTCTTTATATTTGGCGTACAATAATTATTAATTACGGATAAATAGCCACCTAGAATCGATCGAATGAACGTGCCAAGCTTACCAATAGTACAAACCTGGTGTCATTCAGCTGTGGAGAAGTAAAACATAACTTACTATACGATTGTCGAATCTTGCGTAATAAGTGTTACCAGACAGAAGAAATAAGTTAAAATGTAATGTACAGCATTGGAGCGCCGTTTATGGTAGACTCGACGCCCTCGTTCCACTCCGATATTGGGGTGAGCAGGGCTGACTCCGTCGACTAAGAAATCGTCATAATGTTCAAAAAAAGTCGACATATCTTATTCTCGAAATTTATAAGCATAATGATATTTACATTTACGTGTAATCAAATAAATGGTTTATGACAAAACGTACTGGTCAACAGCTATTGGTAACGCACGCAGACTTTTGCTAAAGCTATTGTTTATTGTGAGCTTCCGGGTTTAGGAAAAATCGTCTTGGTTGGTTTTTTTTCGGCAAAGCAGTCACGTGTTCCAGTCGGAAGGGGCGGCCGTTATGCAATTGAGATTTCGATCTCATATCAAACATTTACACAATTAGCCATGAAATCCTTCATTTACATACACGAAAATATAATCATAATATACAATTCCGAGTAAGTGGCTACAACCCTGCAGACAATCTTGTTGTGAATCACCTTAAGCCATTAATCAATGAGGGCTGATGTCTCTCTTGCGCATAAATTGTAGAAAATGTTTCTCAACAGTGAAGGGAACTTTTAACACGCGTGATAGCTAAGAGGCTCAGTATGGTCGTTTCAGTCTACCGTAGAGGAACTGGCTGCTTACCAATTCTCATGTGGAGGTTTGTTCTCGTCTCGACACATGTTTTACATCGACCGGAACGCTAGGACCTCCCCTCGCTCGTCCTATAATAAATCGAAAGAAAATAAGCCTTGCAGCAATATTCTGTGGAGTCCATTGTCTCCAATTCTCAGATAACATTGCTACGTGTGCCGTTTTCCAACTGTGAATACTCATAAACATTCAGTTAAATAACTAACTTGCTGTAACGTAAGTAACTTGTTTTGTTAGGCTTACTAAGAGATCGAGACTAACTGAGGAGCACGCCAGCGCGTAATGCTGTAACCCGCTTTATTAGCATCGCAAGTAAATACCTACAAAATTAATCATAAAACAAATACGTCCCACAAATGACAATGAGTTCTGTGTGCACACGCAAACAAACAATTTATTGTTTTCAATAATGTCTGTTATTAAACGGAGTTTATATTTAGGTATGTTATAATTATAATTGAATTTAATACTAAAGAAGTAATTGTAAATATGTATGTGTGTATCATTGACGTGGACACTCGTGCCAGGACGGACTTACTTCTTAAATGAGATGTTTTTTTCAAAGCAAATAGAATTCAGCAAACAGTTGTAGTCTTCAAGTTAATTTCTAAATTATCTATATTTTAGAGTTGATACCCTTGTTAAACGTAATTTCGTTTTTATCTACATGTTATATGTATCTTACGGAACACAACAGAAAATCTTAGATTGCAGCCGGGTTTTAGATGTTATTAGATATTTCTTACAGAGCAGTTTCATTTATTTAATCGCCGAGTAATTCCGTATTATTGAAACATATGTAAATATGAATATATTTACTGGGTATCACTTTAACAACTTAAAGCTGTAAGTATTGGTAAGCCCATGAGTGGTCATGGTCTACAGGATAAGACAACCGGTGCTTCAGACCAAATACCTAATGCATGTTCACGAATGAGTTCACCGTCTACCCAATAAGTTTTCGGTGTTATATCTTATTTAAACTAGAAATATTTACGTTCTCTGGATATTCACACAGAGCTTCACGTGTCAGCTAACGTCAGAAGTTTCGCTCGGATGAGGGAGACTCAGGTTTGACCAGATGTAACTCGGTGACCTTAGACACGCGAACCGTGACAGTACTACTGCACCACTATGGTAATATTAACAATATTAATGCGATTAACTTGTGGCCCAAGCGAATCGCAGAACGCATCATACCAAGATCTCACGGGCCGCTTTGATCATCTGGTTCTACGATCAGACATTGCTTCTTTCTGTATTTTGTATCGTTCTCTGAAACATTATCTGAGGTAATCCCGCCATCTCTTACAATTGTACTTACCACCCGGTTTCGTAATAATCTGGAACCACTTGACACCAGATGGGCTGTGAGCTCACCTTGTACCTTGTTTACCATGTACGCAATTTAAAAAGAAACAATGTATTGAGTATCCCTCGGGCAACGATTTTAACGTGCCAATATAAAAACAGCACTTCTCATAGTTTACGTAACATGCGCTGCAGAGATCCATCAAGGTGTGACCATATGGCCGACCATATGTACGCCTCGGTATGGTCACAGCTAACTGTGTCAGTTTAACCAGTACTTAGAGAGGTTACCTTATTCGGAGTACTCACCGAGCTTGTTATTAAATAAGCGCGAAAGTTTTAGTTTTGTAACTTTAAAATTTTGAATTGAAGTGTTGAGAGACGAATTGGTCTAGGACTTGAGGAGGCGAGGCTAACACTCTAGCACGCTGCATAACAGCAGCTGTACGTAACGGCAGTGGAAGAGAGGCCGGTTAGGATGAGCTGTCTACCACACACAGGCGAGATTAAATGATATAGGTTGCTTTAATTATATCTATAAGAGCATTTGCTCCGACAGGAAATCGAACCCTCGCGCCATGTTTCAGTAATCAGGCTCCTAATTACTCGTTTAACGAAGCGAAGCCCAGCCCAACCGCTGCCTCCAAAGAATTGCATAAAATATCGTTTGACGAAAACGTCTTATAGTGCTTACTTTGTTTCCTTTTAATAGTTAGTAGAAAGTTTTGTAGCTTAGCATGGATGGATGGATATCATTATCCTATCTCTTTCTGCTACAAATCATTCGCGGTATTATACATCGGGCATTTTAATAGAAGGGCGTATTATAACTATAATGAATGGCGCAATATTTATTTCAACAATATAAGATATAAATCATAGGTATCACGACCAGTGGCTCAGTTTACGAAATCACTTCATTGGTTCAGTTGGCACACTGGTTTAAGTCCTAATGTGATTAAGTGTTTTTAATAATTTATCTTAAATCCTAACAGTACGTTAGGAGCGACAGGCGTAGGTAATATCAAATAACAATGGTCGGCAGCGACTTGGCTGTATCCCTGGTATTGCTGTCGTTCATGAGCGTCGGTAACCACATACCATTAGGTCTGCCTACAAAGGTAAAAAAAACGCAATAAAAATGTATTGAAACTCTCAACTCTGTTCATTTGTTTTTTTAACTTGTCTATTCTTCTACCGCTTCTTTTATCTCTTCATTTGTACCCCTATCCTCAGACTGGATTGCGACCTCCAACACACCCTGCAACCATTGCTCAAGAAAAGGAGTGGCGTACGGGCAAAGCCAGTAGTACAATTAAGTAGGTCAAGATGGTGTGTACGTAAAATTAGATCAACTAGTGGTCCCCCAGTAGTCGAAATTCGACAGATTTCGCCAAGATTACATTGTAGACAAATAATATTAAAGACAAACAATAATAATCTATTCTTAATTTGACCACAGACTTTAAACAATAACAAAAGCTTGACAATAAGCAAAGATGTGTTGTGTCGAATACATGGTAGTGTGTGTCATATTTTTTGTTGTTTTAATGTATCTTTTATGCATAATTTAAGAAAAAATATTAGGATCCTGCACTCCTTCTCTATATTCTCTATAAGTGTGGGAAATTTCATGCTCCTCCGTCCGCGCAATTTTCGTAAAAAGGGGTACAAAGTTTTTGTCTTACGTACGATATAGATGTTTCTGTAAAATAAAATAAAAACATAATATATAAATATTTATTTCTGATAAATCATTTGTTTATTTTTTCAATAAATATCTTTCCACGAATTCCTCAGACAATTCTACCAGTCTCTCCCGGTATACATTGCAGGTCCTCGCGTAGCGTATTAAAGGGGCAGACCTATCTTCGAAGTTATGCTTCTGAAAGGTTTCCGGATCGTCAAAAGTAGCTGCAGCAGTCTTCGGATCTAATAAGATATAAGGACATATACCCAAAGCTTGAAAAATACCAAACATTCTAGAGTTTTCGCAACTCTTCAAAAATTCCTCCCAGTTGTAGCCGATTCTTTTCAATCTCAATTTGGTATTTTCATTTAGATGCTTGGAAAAAATTGTATAGTAGTGCTCGAAGATTCCTGTTTCGTGCTGCTGCCGGAAACTCTTCGATGTCGTCAGGTACAGAAAGGTCATGACATCAAACGTCGGTGCCGAGTATCTTATACATTGGTAATCTATGATAACAGCATTATTAGGATTGCAGTCCTCGTATTTAAACATGATGTTATTAGCCCATAAGTCTTTGTGTATCAATACATTGAATCCATCTTTAACTACAGTCAAACTATCACAAGCTTCTATAAACAATTTTACAATACTATTTTCTAATTCTGGCAAGCCAACGTATTTTGCGGAGAAAGTGTTTAGGATGTCTGAAATACATTTTGCGGCCGCACGAAGCCAAGGGCAGTCCTTAAAAGTGGGTTCGTTTAATAAGTGTTCGTGTTGTTTGTAAAAATTGTATTCACTTCTTCCGTTGAGGATATTCTTAGTCTCGTAATTAGCGAAGGTTGCGTGGAAACGAGCGATGGACGTAATGGTGACTGTCGCGTGTGGTAGGTCGAAGGTATCCAGGTGGTGCCGAGAACGATAGCCCTGGATGTCCAAGTCGGGCAGGACCAGCATGCTGTCGGAGTATAGGTATGCTTTGACGTTCCATGGATTCGGATCTGGAATGTCCAAATCGTAAATGTTAGTAGCCGATTAAGAGGATTATATTTGCGAATTTAATTGTGTAAAAAATAAATTTATAGAGGAATCGAACCTTGGAAGACTCGCCGCTAATTGTATTTACCTACATTCACTTAAATTTGTGCTTCTGGAGATGTTGGTGGCCAAGGGTAATTGTGACCACTCCTCTGAGGGCCGTGCGGATGTTTGCCTTAGAGGCTAATAATAAAAATGCTTACCTCCGACGTCCTCAAATTCTTCAAAAAGTTCAAAAATTAACCGCTCTCTTCTAAAAAAGTGCTGACTGTCGATGAACTCAGCCTTCGGTTTATTGTTAACAGGCAATCGTTTCACGAATAAATGCAAACATGTAACTTGTCCACTCACTTGTACTTCTAAAGTCACTTTAAAATGATCACCGAGGAATCCTGCTATGCCATCAGCGACAGGTTTGACGTACCCATCAATCACTTTCCCACCCTCGCCCACTGATGATTTGACTATTTGACTTAATTGCTTTTCACTGAACACGTCGCTTAGATTGCTTCGCAAATTGTTAGTGCCAACCATTGTGCCGACTTGAGATCCGTCCGAGCTGTGGATGTGGGGCTTTATAAGTTAATTAATTTATTATCTAATTTATAAATAGACACAGAGATCTCGTTCATTGTTTCATGAATTTCTAGTAGAAGTAGATTCGCACTGGCGTTTCCAAAACGCTCCTCAAAACGCTACTTACTGGTTACTAAAGCCCATTATCATATACTTATAACTTTTCAAACACATTTTAATCTCCACTAATTTGTTTTTTTTTTCTTCCTGGTCGGGCTCTTCATTATTAAATTTAGTTTTTTGTGAAAGTTTTGCGTTGAATTGGTACTTACAGAGTCAGAACTGGTAGTAAACTCCTTTTATCTCACTCGACATTCTGTTTCTCATTGGGAGACTGAGATTAGATCTCTTTAACTTTTTTGTGTCATGTTTAGTGTTCTATAATCTTTAACGAAACGTGGAGAGAGCCTAACATGTAATCTTTTCAGTCTTTTTTTTTTCAAGTTTAGAGTAACAGAGTAAGTCATGCTTAATTTTGTTTTTATTTTTTTATTGCTTAGATGTGGACGAGCTCACAGCCCACCTGGTGTTAAGTGGTTACTGGAGCCCATAGACATCCACAACGTAAATGCGCCACCCACCTTGAGATACAAGTTCCAAGGTCTCGTGCATAGCTACAACGGCTGCCCCACCCTTCAAACCGAAACGCATACTAAATCAATTTAAATAATAAAAATGTTCACTTCAGCAGACTTATCGTCAAAATATCTAATATTGTCACTTCGGACAGTGCAGATTAAGAATCAAAATACATCTAGTCAATCAATCATTTACTGTTCAAATCATTAATTAGTGTACAACCGACGCCGCGACGCCTGTGCGATTTTTTACTAAAGTGATTCTAATGATAATACGAGTATACTTAGGTAAGTACTAGAACAAATATCATAATTTCTTATGCTTCTATTGTGACAGGTAGCAAATATGTATTACAACGTACATACGCTATCGTGCACGAAAAGATAAATGACATTTGATTTTGTTTGTTTTACAGTGGCATTCAAATTGTTGCAGTTATGACATGCTCCAGCTAATATGAATAATATTAATAATTTAGGGTTTGGCATGAATAATTAATAATTAAGTTGAAGAGGACTTCGAAATATTGTTTATATAATATTTAGATTAAATTATCCAAATTTGTTTTCATTAAATCTAAATTTAGATTAATAATAAGATTAATCGGCTAGTTGAATTAAAGGTCAGTGATTGATTACTGTAGCATGAGATCCGAGCTCGATTCTCGATCGAGGAGAGGAAAAATCCTTAGCACACAAATAAAAATAAAAATCACTTCGTGATTCCACCACCATCCACCGGACTATATACATTAGAAAAGGAATGATTAATATTTGTTCCAGCGGTCACTTAGTTCTACACCCAAGCTACTGCCAACCGTAAAGTTACAGAGCGTGACGGCTCTTCGAAAGAAAGATGGACCTAAAAAAGAAAATTCTAGAATAAAAGTCTGAGCAAATCAAATTATATCAAACAATACGAATGAAATGAACAAAGCAGTATCCAATTATATATTTAAATTTAAAGTTTGAGTGACACTGGTTTAAGACGTTCGAGTCGTTTATATAATTAAAAGACAAGATATTCATTCGCTCCTAAAAATACAATTACAAATATTTATTAAAAACAAAACATCACTAATATAAAGATTCATAAAACAATCTGTTGAAGCTATTGGATTTAATTGCCAAAATTAAATTAAGCACAATTATTTATTTAATAAAATGTTATACGTGGACTATACGTGTATATTGGCCGACTTAGTGTCTATGGCATTCTGCATGAGTCAACCAAGGGTGGTGCGTAAAATAACGTGTAGATTGGTAAAGAAAAATAGATGGCGTACACTATACGATCCTCGTGTATTAAAACAATATTAACATGAATCAGTAGGACCGGACGGCGCTGTCCCGGGGCCGCACCACTGCTCGACCGGCGCCCACGGACGAGCGGGGAATATCTTTTCAATAAAATAGCATTTAATTCAAAATCAATTTATTTGAGGATTAAATAAATATAATAAATTGAATTTATATTTAATTACCTTTAAAATTACAAAAAATAATGCAACATCTATTAAAAATAAAATCTAAAAATTATACAATTATAACATAGTTTAATAAAATTTTTTTATCGTAGTTTACATAATATAGTTAAATATTTACTTAGGAAGACGATTATGGCAATAATGTATTTTTATTTATTATTGAAGGCACCCACTGGCAAGACTACACACTACGACGGCAACATCGACTTGGACCAATCAATCAGCAGCGGAGATAAGAACACCCACGAGCTACTGTCATTGCTGGGACCCTGTGACACCTGGAGCGAGGTGGTCCTAGTGGGACACGGACACAGGCCTGGCTGTTAATTGTCTGTACAATTTAGTTCTTCCACATTAACACCCCCCCCTCCCTCCTCCTCGACTCCTGAGGTGCGCGGTGCGGTCACAAGCTCTCATTTTATATGGAGCCCAATTTGTCTTAAATATAATAATATTAACATAGATTAACAATATACCTAGCATTTCTATAGATTGTAATGTAATTTAACATAGGATAATATATACAGAAAATTTAATGGAAGACCTAGTATTTCACATAATTGCTAATTGTGGAAGACTACGTAACGTACTTATATTACTTTGTAGTTTCATGACATATGCTCATATTCAATTTTATTATCAACAACAATAACGTCAACATCAGTTTAATGCAACGCGCACACGGACAGCGAGTCTGCTCACAGAATAAACCGGAGACCGGAGGTATTGCTACGGTGCAGTAGGGTGGTGTGCGGGGTGTGCGGGGTGCGCGGGGTGCGCGGGGTGCGCGAGGCGGTGCAGGCGCTGCAGCAGGTCGGCCAGCAGGTCGGCGGGGCGCGCGGGGGGGCGGTAGTGCGCGGCGCGGGAGGGCGGCGGGGGCGGGCAGCTCCACGCCACCACGTGCTCGCGGCCCGTCGTGCGCGAAGTGCGCACTACGAACAGCAGGCCGCGCTCCCACGCCAGCCGCAGCGACACCACCACCTGCCGGCGCGGCCCGCGGTTAAATCTGTGATGACCTTAGCACTCTATTAGTTAACGACGTCCGCCCCCGGGGTGGCGGCGGGGACTCACCTGGCGCCCCAGCTGCGTGTCGGGCAGCAGCGAATGTCGCGGGAAGCCCACGGCGTAGTAGGGCGAGCCCGGCGCGGGGTGCGCGGCGCCCTGCGTGCCGGATTGGAAGCTGCAACACGGGACACTCGGTACACGTCCAGCGGGAGGGGGGCGCTAAGGTCGACCCCGCAACCGCCGCGACAGAACGCTTACTTGTATGTGACGAGTATGGACGAGCTGTATTCAAATTGCGGCAGGGAGACCGGCTGCAGGCGCCACGACATGCTGCCCCGGGGCTGCGCGCCGCTGCACAGGGGGGGGCGCGGCGCGGCGCGAGGCGGAGGCCCGGGCGCCCCGTACGAGTGTCCGCACGCGCCGCACTCCACGTGCAGAGGTTCCTGCGACATTCCATCCCACACCCTCACGGACCCGCGGTGGACGCACTCCAGTCGACGGGGGACCGCGAGGGTGGCGCGGCTTATAATATGTTGTGAAGTTGCCGTTGTTTAATACCAGCCATTTGAAACGTAATGTACATAAGGCTGCAATACACTTTAATAAAATTATAATAAATGTAGTCTAAAGAATAGAGAATATTATTTTCAATTGAGTAATTAGTTTATTGACTAGTGCAGGGGTGTACGCACCCCGGCCCGCGCCAGGGCCCGCAGACGGCGCGCGAGGCAGGCGGCGTGCAGCGCGTGCCCGCAGCGAGCCAGCGCGCGCCCGCCCTGCACCGTGACGTCACACAGCGCGCACGGGCCGCGGGGGGCGCCGCGCCGCGTCCACTCGCGCACCGCCGCCCACCACGACTCTGCGGACAGAGGGGACAGGACTTCTTACTTACTGAGCTGATGGCCATTAAATGTAATAACGACAATAAAGAATAAAGGTAAGGTAAAAACGTTATATTACAAATCGTCTGTTTTATGAGGAGACAAAAATACCTTCAGACACCAATAATACCTATTGTAGGGTCTGCGGGAGTAGAGGGGACTACAATATATCGCTATCTCATTCTTACGGTCGGCCTCAGTGTGCCGATCGCCGGTTGCACTTTAGTTTATGTTCGTCTGGATCCGCGAGTATTCACATATAATGTTTTATTTATTTATCGACAATTCAGTAAAATGGCAGTGGCAGTAACGTTGAGAGGTAGTTATGAAATATTTCCATTTACCGTCGACAGTCTCGTCGGAGAGGTCGAGTTCGTCGGCGGAGGGCGCCGGGGACTCGAACACGTCGTCGCTGCCGCCGCTGCAGTTGAGCAGCTCGCCCACGGCCGCCTGCTGCAACGAGACGGCGGCGCTACTGACGTTTAGGAAACAATAGGATTTCCAAAAGGAAGCAAGTGTGGTGGGTGGGGCGGCACCTGCAAACTGTCCTTGCTCTCGTGGCTGAGGTAGGTGGACACGGTGTCCACGCTGTGCCTCCTGCCGCCGCCGGAGCCCGTGCTGGTGCACTCCGAGTCGCGCGCGCCGCCCCCCGGACTCTTGTTGTTGTTGCCTGTCGTCACAGAACATATAGTATTAACGGTGTATAGAGGAAAGGAAACTGCCGCCGCTGATTGTAACTCACTAAATATATTCAAGTTGTGCAATATCTGCCTCGCTATGCCCGGCTTCCTGTCCTTCGGCGACGCACTCCGGGGCGGGGCGGGGGGCGCGGGGAGGGCGGGCGGCGCGGAGTGGGCGGAGTGGCAGCTGGCCCCCGTGTGCTGCTGCGGGATGCGACTTTTGCGAACTGTCATGGAAATACATTAACTTTCAATATTGTTCTGTAGTCATAGAAAATTCCTACTCCTGTTTGGTAGTTTCGATTCCGATAGTGAAGGTTAGATAGTTAATAGATCATAGAGCAGGCACGGATGCAACAAGCTCCGGAGCCTTGCTGTTGGAATGCTTCACTTCGTGAGATGTTACAAGACAGTAAAAAACATTTTCATGAATATTTTTACATTTAACTATGATTGCATTATTAGTTTAGGTACGGTAGGTATCAGCTTAGCTCTGACTCTGGCATTACTAATTACTAAGTCCATGGGTGACAGTTACCACTCACCATCAGGTGGGCCGGATGCTCATCTGCCTACAGGGGCAATAACAAAAAAGTTTTAGTCTAGAAATAGATAAAACAGATGAAATATTTTTTTTTTTACCAAATACCTAAAAATACTTTCACTACTTTTCAAATGCCTACCGTCAAGCTGTCTCTGCAGGTTGGGCGGCGGGGGCGGCTGCGGGGTGAGGGTGAGCGGGTAGGGGGGGTGGGGCGCGCGCCGGAGCAGCCTCACCGCCGCCCCGCTCCGCCCCGTCATGCAGGAGAGCGACACCACCCAATTGTCCAATGTTACGACTTCTATCCCCCGAGACCAAGACTCTTCTAGATGGCATTGTTTCTGAAAACGTTTGGGGTATCTTTTAAAAGTTTTCTTATCATTTTCTGTAGGATGGTAGAGATTATAATTCATAGACACAGCCCACTGAGCTGGCTATCTCAAACGACTAAACTAAGAAATAAGAACTCTTCTTACCAATTAGTGAGCGCTTCAGGGATTATTAATTGAATTAGTTTTTGTTGTTTTATATCAATAGATAATTGGAAATTTGTTTATATTTACATCAAGCGGCAGAGGCTCATAGAGTAGCTCTCCAGCGCCAGGAGGAGGCATAAACCGAGCCCATTCCCAGCACCAGCCCCGTCCGGCTACGGACTGCACACTGTAGCATGATCTACGCACACCACACTCTAATATTCCACCATCTATAATCAAAATGTTTTCTTTAAATACAAATTATAAATTGGGCTATTCAGGTTGTCATTTGGGATAGCTCAGTGACCAATTAAGTCCCAATCACTGGACTAATTTCTACAATCCTTAATGACCGGTAATTTTTCATTTACACAAGTAGTAGTAAGTAAGTTCCGGTAGTTTTCACAAGTTCTAGACCTTATAAAAATGACTTTTACGATTTAATCTCACATTTATTATTTTAATTTTATTGTTTTCAACATTTTGAATAATTTAAGTAGTTTAGTAGTTAAGTAGTTATCATGGATATCAAAACTTGAATAAAACAACCAACTATTGTTTCCTAACTATCATTTGACGCAATGTACGTATCTACTCCAACTGGGGTTTGATTTCTACTAAATAAATAAGTACCACGACAGACGGAAGTGTGTGCTTGTGTCACATATGCTATGTTTCTTGTAACTTCTGAAAGCATTCGAAAGTTGTTGAAATTATTAAATTAAATAGATTTTTAGCATTTCATGAGTACATCTTGGTTTACAGGCATAAATATTTGTAAATTAAAAGTTAGTGACCTTGACCTAGAAGATACAGATTGTTTATCAAAGAGGGCCTAATAAAAACCACGAGGACAGTACCTATTTGGTAGAGAAAAATATTTTAATATGTTTACTTCTGACAGAAATTCACATCTTTTGATATGTAATCAGCCTTATTATTTAATAGAATTCATATTACAGTCCCTTCTCTAAAATATAATTAAAGGGTCTCCAGGTAATTTCTTTTTTCTTAATGTTTAAGTGCTTTTTATTCCAAAAATATTTACTTGAAAACATATTTTTATATCAAAATGGTTATTCTAATTGAACGCTAACTAAAATTTTCAGCTTAATATAACCTTAATAGCACCTGTATAAGTGTATGCATGGCATACTCCTATAAATAATTTGTTATTAATCGGTACTCATGGCTAGAAGTTTAATTGTACTGTTATTATGTTATGTTATTAGTGTTTTGGGTGTTTAGCAGAGTCAGTCACAGTAAAGGAATAAATAATATAATAGCAATTGAACTCAGGTTTATGTAAATGTGTAATTACCAGGCGTCTCATTACTCTGTGTCAGGGTCAGCAAGTTAACATAATATCCCTTCAATGCTGGATCAGCATCAGCCAATACCACCCTGGTTAACTTCTTAGCATGAGCCCTTTCTAGGGTCCTTGTAACACTTGGCGTGTGTGGTAACCATTGACCATTTGACTGCCACTCCCATACTACAACGCAGTGGACTGAAGACATTGTTCATTCCATGTTGACTAGAAATCCAAAAAAATAATTTTATAAAACTGAACCAAAAGCAAAATCAATGTATATAATTAAATATAATTGTTAAATATAAAAACCCCATTCCAATCAATTAACAATTTAACATACAAATATTGATTAGTTATGAATATAGTTAGCTGATTACTGTCATTAGATCAAACAAGTTTCGTACCTAAGAAGGAAACAGTATCATATGTACTATATGAGTCGACTATTATCAAAGGTGGCAATCTGACTTTTGGACAATGATTGGTAAATCAGAAAAACGAATTATTGACTTTGTATTCCATTGGCAGTCACAAAACTCTTCGCAACGACATCTTAGATAAATAACAGGTTAACTATTAACCTTTATTTAATGCAGGTTTTGAACCGTATTCTTTGAAGGAGACGATTATATTCAAATAAATCTGTATTGACATATCAATAAAAATTTTTTGTCCAAATGTACAGATTGCCGCCTTTGATAATAGACGACTCATATAGTCTTTTAAATATTTTAAATGATACAATAAAATAGTCAAAATGGCATGTTAATACCATGAGTGCATATGAAGACACTACTAGAGAAGTTAAAGTTCTGGAATGATATTCCTTCATTAAGAAGTTGTTCGTGAACATGCATTAAGTATTTCCTTATAATAATTGGTACTGGTGTAAAAATACATTAGGCAGTTCATTTATTACGCGACGAAGACTTCATGTATGCAGTTGGATTATTTATTGTATTCCAATAAATTTTGCTTTAAAATTATGTTGATAAACAATTTAATACACTTTCTTACTGAAAAATATTACAATATTTTATACTTACAGGTCCAGTTCCACATTTGAAAATTATGATCTCAATAGAGCAATAAATTCAAAATTAAGATAACGAAGAAAGCTACAGGAATGCTAAACCAATTTGTTTGTTTGTTTCACAATCGCTACTGGTCATTTTCTATTCATATTTCTCAAACATACCCAAATTCATTTACATCAAAATTGCTTTTAAAGTGATACTAAATGTTGAATTGAGTGTACTATTTCCTGAATTAAGTAACATTTTTGTTCTAAGTCACTAATTTTAAAGATTAAATAAAATCGTTGCAATTCTGTACCTATGTACCAGTTTCAACATAGCTTCATAGCCCTGACGCTGTCGAATACTGTCAATGATTTGACAGTCTTGTATATTTCAAAAGCCGAAGGAGTATTCGTGCTAGCGTTAGTGTTAATGTCCGAGATTCTCTCGAGCCCGTGAGTGTGCTCAACCTATCCCTATTCCAATAACCTATGGCTATTCCAATAACGTTATGACGATTGGTGAGCCCCGTTGGCCTACCCAAAGCTGTTGAAAGCCCACGGTTTTTTCATACCTAATTGCTTAGGTAGGGAAAAAAGTCTGAAAACGAAAATAGTAAATTGAAGTTGTCACAGCCAGAGTCTTGACCGTATGAGCGAAGTTTCTTTTGCATCTTTAATTGAACCACCAAATTAAAATAAAGCATCGATCAATTTTAATCAAATATGTGCAGAATCTGCAGAATCCAAGTCACATTTTAATGTTTTAAAAAGTACCTGCATCGAAGTTCGTTCGTACCTGCATCGAATTGCAGATACACAAACATTGATACATGCATACTATTGAAAAAAAATCACACATATCTCATCTCGTTATGGCGTTTTTACAACGTAAGTAGGTAGATCAGATATTTTTGTTGACAGTATGAATAACACATTTCATTTTAAATCGTACACAGCTATTAAGACGAAATTACAATTGACAAAATGACATTATGATAACAACATACTTTATCTCATTACATTGAGTAATTTACGTGAACTTAACTTTCTAATTAATCATTTACTCATCGATAATTTACTGGTCCTTTGTACATTAGTGTCCAACGCGAATTAATGCGATATTTATGACCAGAACGAGTGGCGTGAGACGAGCTTCCGAAGCTTTATGAAACCGCTCGAAACTTATGATTGATTCCATTCGAGTGAGCTGCTTAGAGGTTACCAAATAGTGATCAAATCTCTTGTCTGTAAATTACTTTGATGATCATCCAAACTAACAATGGACCACTATAAAATGAAAAATGAGAAATATAATGATCTTAAGGTCTACTTGTCACACTTGATGCTTTTCATTTCTTTTAAGTAACACTGATTTGCAAAATGTTGTATAATAGGACAACAAAATGTTGTACAAATATTAAATCTGGTCATTAAATGGATTGTTCAAACTGAGTGATATAAAATTATGAATACCATTGTTGACATTATGTTTGTTGGAAAAGTCATATTATTAACAATGTATAATAATATAATATAATAATATAGGTGTTACTTGCCTGGAGATATGTCAAAAAATGTGTTGTTTACATGAGCACCAGGCTCATCACAAACCAGGAGAAGTGGGGATTGCTCATGAGGTGCATAACATCTGCTCACAGCAATGATACTGAATGACTATCACAACTGCTCTGACAAGAGTGATATGACAAGGAATAGGAATACATTACATAATGTGAAAAAGTCTACACAATTAATTTTAAGAATTGATTATAAATGTTAAAAAAACACAAAAACTAAGAACTACAGTGTAAAATTACCTATTTATATATCCTTAAAAAATGTGTTGAATTTTCTATTTATTTCTACAGACAAGGGTCGGGCCGCCAATCATTTCAACCTCGAGATGGATTCTGCAGTATCTGATGAGGTAAATCTAGAAAATATGACTCAGAATATTAGATCTCATAATTTATGTTATTGCTTACGGTGCAAAATAAGAGCTATGTTAGAAGCTATAGTATTGTCTAGGACACCACCAGAGTATTATTACCTTACCTTATAGTTACTTTCATAATGAAATAACTATCAATGAAAAAATGAAAAAGTCTTGACAAGAAGCAGGAAAGAATAATGAAAGTTTGTGATTACATACTGTGAAAGAAGTTTGAATCATTGTGAATAAGAATTAAACTTTTTTTTTTGGTTTCATACTGATATCCAGAGATTATTATCAGTGATGTGTATAGGTTACCTGTAACATATAATCATAGAATGTATGATGTATGATGATGAAAATTGGCAAGTCATAACAATTTAAACTTTACTTGCAACCACTCCAACAAAATGACACATATTTAATATAAGTTTTGCCAAATTTCATCTGGAAATTAGTGAACGATATAAATAGGCTTGTATAGGAGTAAACAAAGAAGGGTTAAAACACTTCTTTGTTTGAAAAAAATCTATATTTTTTTTCATGTCTTTTTATGATCAAGTAAGTTAATTATAACAAGATGCTATCATAGGTCAATTAAAATTAAAATAATTTGAAAAATATAATGCTTTACATTACAAAAGAAAATATTTTTTATTAAAAATAAAATGTTGACTAAGGGACATTTTTTAAATGTTCGTATTAATCATTTAACATATATACATATTACAGTAATACCCATCTAAAACCCTTTTTCTCTATATATTATATACTACATAAGATTTTGAACAAAAACAATGCTAAACATTAAGTGACAAAATAATTTATTACTACAGCTTCATGTGTGGTGAGTTCTACTGAAGATATGAAGGCAATGGTTGCTCTCTGATTGTGCGGGGGTTAATTGTACAACATGTTGTTAATAATGTACATATTATGTACTTGTTAACGACATGGCTGAACTGGACAGTTGTGTTATTGCTTCAGTAAAATTAAGAATTTATTTCAGTACACAGTAGCAGTTTGAAGCATTTTTACATAGCGGTTGTGTATGTCATAATGCGTATATCAACCCGAAACTTGACTATCTTCTATCTTCTTCTTCTATCTATATGATATGAAGATCATATGAGGCCTATAAAATCAAAGGCAGCTAAACGCCTTAATTTCGTAAAATTGATTAACAATAGCGCTATCTTGCTTAGTTAGTTGGACACGCTTTAGTGTTTTCATGTTATAACAAATGCAGCTAAATCTCTAACAAATTCAGTTCAAAAAATTTATTTTTACTCCGTACTAAGTACTAATAAACGAAGATTTATCATTTAAAATTCAGATTATTAGTAATATTCTCATTCTTTATACATCTGCTTTAAAATAAAGAATATCGTAGCTATCCGAACACAGTTATTTCAGCTTCTCAAACCGGGAGTGTTTCTAACACTTGTCCTAGCAAGAGCAGTACTTCGATGGATCGGGAGGATCCGTAAAGACGTGTTTAGGGCTGATTTTTGTAGTTTACCTGAATATTTGACAGACTTGGATTTAGCTGCCTTTGATTTTATAGGCCTCATATAAAAAGGAATTGGTGTTCGTTAGTCTCGCTAAAACTCGAGAACGGCTGGACCGATTTGGCTAATTTTGGTCTTGAATTATTTGTGGAAGTCCAGAGAAGGTTATAGGTGGATAACAAGGAAAATGCTCAGAATTAAATAAAAATAATAATTTTGATTTCCCCTTCCTTTTGTTTGTTTTAAGTTTATTTTATACAAAAGTTTAGGTCTTTTATTTATCGATTGAGGCACTACGAAGTCTGCCGGGTCAGCTATCAATAATATATATCACGTTAAAATGTAAAAAAAACTTAGTTATAATTAATAAATGCTACAACGGAACTTCATACAAAAACTAATATATTTATTGTTTCAACTGTTTGATGACAGCCCTAAATATAAGCAATAAAAGTACCGTTAGGCCGTTCATTCAGCTCAATGCCTCAGAACGAGGACAAATTCGTTTAACACATAAGAAACAACGAATACGAAAAAAAAAAAGTGTGGTGTCGTGGGACACCGGATAGGAACGAAGTTCCTTATTATAAAAATATTAATTTTAAATACAATTAGAGGTACAAAGAAAATAAAACTGGAGGTTTCGCAACAACCCATGGGTCATTCGGTAGCGTGCGAACTTTTTGTGGTACACTTCATTCACGGTTGTTTGCATAAGAGTTAGTGTATTGCACAAACGAACGCTCTGAGATCGTGGTCAATGAATGAAAAAAATTATGTTATTTTTTGTACGTTATTACAAAGTTAAGTCGTACATTGTGTGCATTACTAATTTGTACGTCATTACAAAGTCAGTCGTACACTGTGTGCATTACTAATAAAGATCTTACGTTACGGACGATTACCGGCGTCGGAGGAGTGTATGTGTGTTTCAATTAGCTGAAATCATGTGTACCTTTTTTATTTCGGAGAACCCGCTCAATCAGGCCTGTCGAGTTATCGAGTCTGCTGCGTTTTCGTGTAACCTCCGATATCATAAAGAAACCCGAAGTTGGTGGGATTTTCAAAAAAAAACCTCAAATTCGCATCTTTTGATATGTGGCCAGCCTTATCTGTCACCACCAAACATATTGTACGTTACCTTATGTAAAACACAATTCGAGGGTTGAGCAGATGAATAGTTGGCTTATGTTCAAGGAAAATTCATTCCGAAACTATTTAATTGAGTTTTTTTTTGCGTTGCGATTATCCTAATATGAGTTTTATCTAGTTTCGGCTTGATATACCCCGCGAACAACCGATATGCTTTACTTTGCAATAAATACATCCCTATCAACTAAACATGTCATTCTTAGTTTCTTGACACTTTTTTTAATTTTCTAGCTTACTTTCTATTTTTTCAGTTTGCCACTGTTGATTTTCCATTTGAGCTCAATTGACACAAATAATATTAAAATTTCTTATAACAAAATTTATTATTATCGCAATGTATCTTTCTATGATATCATAGAGTATGCTTATCTTTAGAAGCCTTTAACGATAACTGACCGAGTATACAATTAACTCAAGCCTCTCCGAGAGCAACCTAGTAGATGAGGATGCTGTATGAAGGCATGATCAGCATTCATACACATCACTCTAGACCTAACTAGACATTAGCTGCTCGCCAGCCTTCCATATATGGACCCTCTTGGATTGTAACTTGGATTCTCAGTTCTGTAGGGTAGGATTTTAAATGAAGGTGTTAAAGTTGCAATTTCACTGGGCGGCATACATGAGAGGTTGGTAGAGTTTGATGGATGATGTGTTTGCACCTTCACTGTGAGTATGTGCTTGTATGTGTGCTGTTATAATTGTTATATCTGATATCGTTGTTCAGGCTACATGATAATTGTTTCTATTGATAATATTGAGAATTGTTTATGAGCTCAAATATATCCGTTCAAGAATTTATTCAATACTTTGAAAGAATAAAGCATTCGGTAGGTGCCACTGTACGGTTGAATAATTATCTAATATTAAAATTTATTTATTTGTTAGCCATTTCGTCACACTATTATTGACAAGAGTGTGGTTTTTGTTGATTAGAGCTCTACCCGGCCAGGGAAATATACTGAGGCCATGGTCTTTAAGTAGTTTTTGGCTAGAGTTGTGTGTATGTGCGAATGTTGAGATGTGCGAGTGTGTGTGAGAGGTGAAACACATGACCCACACGGCATAATGTCTTCAGCCGCGTGATGTCGCCGAGGATGCAGCCTGCGTCGGACAAGACAATGCACCACTTCAGTTTGACGTAAGTCCAACCTTGAATCGTCCATTACTGCCATCAACAACTAGTAAACAGTTATACATACTTTTTTCTGTGCGGGTATCTAAAAAGTAAAGTCTATGAAACAAAACCAGCGACCCTCTTAGCACTGAAACAAAATTCTGTCCCTACATCGCGGTTGGCACCAAACATTGACGCCAAGTTTCAGGAGAGCGTCCGAAGGGAACAACAAACATTATGAAAAGAATTTTAAGTATTAATTACCCGCACTTGTCACCTTTGTAATAATAATTGATTTTTTTTCCTTATGTTTTTAGCCTTACTTTTTTATTTAAATTTTAAATCTTAATTCTGTCACCGGACACCCTGTATAAGCACAATGGAAAATAATGTTAAAATACGATAGTAATTTTCTTAATAAGTGATACACATTTTATGTTTAAATATATTAGATTAAGTGTCAAAGAGAAAGACGTGGGTTTCGAAGAAGCGGAGTTCTGTTATCGAAACGAAGTGAAATGAGTGAGCTTTATTGCCCGTAATAGTTGCTTAAAAAGCTAGTTCCGCTTTTCTTGTAAAACGGAACGAATTCATTTTAAAACAGTCTCACATAATAAAATATTTGAAAAACTTGTTACCCAGACGAATGGTATGGAGGGAATCGAAGAAAAGAAATTGGCTGGCTCCAAGGAAGAACTGCCTTCGTGGATGAAAAGTAAACTACCGGGAGGTAATTTCTCTTTCTAGATCTGGTCGCGTCTAAGGCCGCGGACATGTAACACTATGCTTTTCTGTAAGTCGCANTTTAAAACAATCTCACATAATAAAATATTTGAAAAACTTGTTACCCAGACGAATGGTATGGAGGGAATCGAAGAAAAGAAATTGGCTGGCTCCAAGGAAGAACTGCCTTCGTGGATGAAAAGTAAACTACCGGGAGGTAATTTCTCTTTCTAGATCTGGTCGCGTCTAAGGCCGCGGACATGTAACACTATGCTTTTCTGTAAGTCGCATACAATGTACGTAATGTGTTCAGGAGTTGGCTGACAGGAAGGACCCCGGATATGTTTACTTAGATGTACTATTTAGATTTTTGTTACAGTGAAGAAAGTGACAAACAAGGAACGTCGCCGCAGACAGAACCAGCACCTCAGGCGACTCCTCACGCCCAAGAATGCAGTCATGGTGATCAACGAAATGATTCCTAAGGAGCAGATTGCCAATGTGAGCTCCGACACTATTGACTCGTACACGTCGCTGCACACGCGATCTTACCATATGCGTGAGGGCGCTCTGGTCCTGACCGACGCTGACGCCGGGTCCAATGTTTCAGAATTTCAAAGTGGAGCCAAACCCGAACAAGCACTTCAAGCAAACGACCCCCACGTACTGCGCAGACCTCACCATTGACGGCACCGTGTACCAAGGCTACGGTGAGGACGTTACCTTAAAAAAAAGTTGACAAACACTACAATTTTATTTACCTACTTGTATCAGTAGATTCTGAGCAGCTTTAGTTCCGTCGTTTGCGCGACAATAGAACGATGACTATAAGTAAGTAATTATGTTTAGGTGAAAACAAGCTGCTAGCACGCAGCGCGGCCGCCGAGCAAGCCGTCAGAGACATCATCATCAAAAAGATCAAGAAATGTGCTGAGAGTAAGTGCGGGTCCGCCCGGGGGTGCGGGGGTGCGGGGGCGCGGGGGGACGCGATCACTCCGCCTACATAATGACGTCACGTGATGTTCCAGGCAGCACTGAGCCCGCCGAAGAGGAGCCGCTGCCCATGATCCAGCTGGCGTCCTTCGCTCTACACAAGCTGTTCTCGGAGTGGGAGGGGGAGGGATACAAAGTGCCCCTGCTCCGCCCCGCCGCCGCCAGTGTGTCGGTAACTCTACTCTACAGTCTCGTCGCTCGCAGCAACGCGGCACCGATAGCACCGCTACGGTCACTTTAATGTCTTGTGTCGACTTATGTCTGTGTGATGAATCAGTGGCGTCCAGCCCTTATATTTTTTTGGTACCGACTTTTATTTGGTACTTTCCTTATTGAACGAAGTTGAAGTGAAGAAATACGGATGTCAGAGTTAGCAGCCGCGGCCGCCCCGGGCTTGGCCGGTACCCAGGCCCGGGGCTCGCGGGGTGACTGACCCAGGGCGCGTGTCGGCAGGACTCGGAGAGCACGCAGTCGGGGCCGGTGGGCGGCGCCACGGCGGGCGCGGTCGAGCACAAGCCCAGCAAGCCCGCCAAGATCAAGACTCTGCCCTCCAACGCCAGCACCATGCACCCCTGCATGCTGCTGGCCTACATGAAGCCGGCCCAGGAGTACCGCGAGCTGGCCGTGGACGGCGACAAGCCCCAGAACATGATGTTCACCATCGGACTCGTGGTCGATGGTAAAACTTACGTCGGGAAAGGTAACTACGTCGTACGTTTTAGCACTTAAGGGTGGGGGACTAATTTTTGTAATGAAATATGTACGTAACTCATGTTCACGATTGACCACCGCGACCACCGCGAAGGAATATCGGGTAATAAAAATCACCACTGCAAAGCATAATTACTAGCCGTTGTACTGTAAAAACTGAGCCTTAGAACTCATGTCTCNAAAACTTACGTCGGGAAAGGTAACTACGTCGTACGTTTTAGCACTTAAGGGTGGGGGACTAATTTTTGTAATGAAATATGTACGTAACTCATGTTCACGATTGACCACCGCGACCACCGCGAAGGAATATCGGGTAATAAAAATCACCACTGCAAAGCATAATTACTAGCCGTTGTACTGTAAAAACTGAGCCTTAGAACTCATGTCTCACGGCAGGTGGCGGCATTTACGTTGTAGATGTCTATGGGCCCACCACTAACCACCTAATACCAGCTCGACCATCTACATGATAAAAATCTAGAGTTGTCCTGACGCGCGGTGTCGTGGTGTGGCTTCCAGCGCCCAACAAGCGCGAGGCCCGCAAGGCCGCCGCCCGCGTCGCCTGCGAGACGCTCTTCGGGGTGGAGTTCGCCGACAGACACAGCGAGAACACACCGCGACACTAGCCGACACCGGCCGACGCGAGCCGACACCGGCCGACACGAGGCTACACGAGCCGACGCGAGCCGACACGAGCCGACACCGGCCGGTCCCACGACGGCAGAGCACTAAACACTCTCCAATGTCCTTTACTTTTATAATTTAATACAAAAACCATTTCACGTTAACACTCCACAGTTTTTGTTGATGGCTATTTAAGAATAAGATTTCAAAAGTTGTTTTAAAAACATCGACGACAGCTTACCGCCTGGCGCGTTACTGAAATTGCTTTACATTAGTACTTAAGTATGTTTGATGAACATTAAACTGATGTTCATACACTCTCATAGAGGTGAGACTTGTATGTCTGTGTGACTCGTAGGGAAACAATCTCCAAAACTATTAGATCTATTTAAAGAGTAATGATTAAGAGTACTGTTAAGCGATACAAAAAAACTGATTTATTTTGACACAAATTTAAATATGTATTTTGATATTTCAACGAGAGAGACTGCAGAGACGCCGGCCCACACTCGGAATTACATAAATTCTGTGGAACCTAGTTGCCGGCTCTATAAAATTCAACGAGCCAACCCGAAGTCATGTAGAGTTGCTATGGACTTCACAACTATTTACAATCTGGATGATTTTTAATTTAATGCAAATTAGTTAAGCAAAGTGGCAACACAGGCTGCTAGGTATACTTGCCAGGGAGTTTCGCAAAATTTTATGATGATTGATCGAGTAGTTGAGACGTTAAGACGCAACATACGAACTTAGTTTCGTGTCTATTGTTAATAATGTAGCATGGGTAACACAATCTGTTACTAAAGGCGGCAAGGATATAGTTGCCGCGTCAACGAGAAGGTCTGAGTCCCAAAGGAAACAACAAAAATACCCTCGAGACCATCGCAAGCAGCGCTCAGTTCCAAGTATAGCTCGAACGCTTTCTGATGTCGCGATCGACACAACAAACTGTCGGTACAAAACTAAATGATAGACTTATTGAAGTAGGGCAACTGGCTCGTCATCATGTGATCGTACAGTAATCAGTATTACTTTACTGACTACAAAATTAAAATCTATTTTACATATATAGTATCATATTTTAAATCGTATGCGTAGCCACAAAACTAGATGCTTATATAAATTAAGTATATGAAAATGATAATCTGTATCTTTTAGTAAGTTTTAATTTTTGACACTAGCAACATTATAACTGCGGCAGTCATCAAATCATTTATACGAAAGAGAAACAATATGTTTTGAACGGAATAAATATACAGAGCAGTTAATGAGTTTTTTTCTTTTTCCTTTCCCATAATTTTTAGTCTGTTAAACAACACAACACACCGTGTGCAACTCTCGGTAGGGCGGCAGCCTTCACACTACAACACTAGAACATTCGGCAGTAACGTCCCTTCTGACTGCTCGGTAGGGGGCCGTCGGGCTCCATGCAATAAAGAACTATGACAGATTATTCTGCCGTTCTAGATTTACTGGTAAAATCCGTGCGTTTTGCTGGTGGTAAGGCGTGTTGTAAGCCCACACAGGTAGGTACCGCCACCCGGCCTGTGTTTGTCGCGAAGCAGTAATAGCGTTCCCGGATCGAAGGGTGGGTGGCGGCGTTCAGATTGTGATGAAACCGGGGCTCGTAGCAATTAAATAAAAACACAGATTCAACTAAATACTTTTACTTGTTTTAAGACTCCCTCAACGCATTGTACATTGTGACGTTTACGTGGTACAAGTAGACAAGAAATGTTACATTCCACTCGATCAGAATCCACGAATAAAAAAACTAAAAATCAAAATATTAAAATTGAAACGAAAATATCAAAGAGAAGAATCAGCGAAATACACGCAGCGATCTACTTGCTTACGGCGAAAGTAACAAACATTAATATGCAAAGCAAAAGTAACATTACAAATGTCTGATACCTATAAGAATATCGCGCGCCCACGTCTCCCTCGAGGAGCCTAGCTGGGTTATCGAGCTCACGACTCGGCTGGTGTTATGCGATTACCAGAGCCTATAAGCAGCGCCAACGTGTACGACGCCACCTCGGAAACACGAGGCCCAAGTCTTAACGGTATCTACCGTGCCTGCAACTAACCCGTTATAGCGGAACATCTATTCCGCGACGGTCACAAGAAACACGGTGAGGCCTGTCTGCATGAGGAGCGGACTCACCTCATGACTTGAGTGTATTCTGGCGTTTGGAAACATAGTTCAGTAATAGTTTTGTGACGTCGTTCGCTATTCTTCCCTCGTTATTGTTAATTTGTTTTGTATCGTGAATCTCCGTTGGTGATATATAAGGCAAAACTAAAATGCACTTACAAAATGTCTACGCTACTCAGTCTTAACACACTAAGTAATTTTATCCACAGCTACAGAAATTAAGTACGTAATGTAAAAATAAATCATTTTTACACATCGTAAAATTCTTTGTCCGATTTTATTAATGAGAAAAACAGTTTAAAAATAAATTAATTATTGCACTTGTGATTTAGGCTGGTAGACGAGCGGGCCGTGTTAAATTCAGTTATCGCACATGCAACTGACAGCGTTAACAACAGGTCAATCCTGAGCACTGTTGAACTGTATGATTAACATTAATATTAGAACATTCAAATTGCGTGTCTGGTTTTGAATCCGCGATAATGTTTAAATGACACGTCCATCATCGCTGTCTCCCGAGTGCCTACAATTGAGCTTAAAGTACAAACAATAACATGACATACAAAACAATAAATTAAATAACAACAGTAAAATAAATAAATGGTTTTACTTTTTACCCTAGAAACACTTATTTCAATGGCCGTCATCTTATATAATACACGAAAAAACAATATGGTTGTATTCTTAAACACAAAATGTTCAGAATATTACAACGTTAATTTTACAAAGGATTCAATTAATAACTATTTCGGTAGTTTATGTTCTGATCGTCGGAGATACTGGCAGAAGGCAGCCGGGCCGAGGCTGCGAGACCGCAGTCTACATACAGCTGTGTGCTTAGTGCGAGTTTCTTAACGTTCTCGATAGCGTAAAAGTTAGCCCAATTTTGCATGCAGTTGGAACAGCGCCCCTAGCGACCAACGTAGGCAAACGATCACATTCCATACAAATATGAGCTAACTTTTACGCTATCGAGAACGTTCAAAAACTCGCACTAAGCACACTGGTACCGCAGAGGGCCAAGTGAGGTCGCACGAGGAACTACCAGACTTTGGTACTATTTGAATTATTAGACAAATGGTAAAACATAAAGGGGATTCCCGTGGCCGCTGCACGGGTTGACTGTCGATGTGGGTGGATTGGCGCAGGACGGTCGCACGACTCGCATATTTACATTGAAAGGACTTAATGGACTTTATACTTAGGCTAAATACTGTATACCACCTAACTGCATCATTTAAGAAACCGCTTAGTGAAATATTGGACGAACTTTGTGCTTTTGACACTAATTAAGTACTTAATTAACTACTTAGTAATAAGATAAAAACATCTATCCGAGAATTGTAAATTACTATAAGTTAGCATCTGTACATTTAACTATTACAATTTAATAACGGCATTATATGGAAATTCATGAAAAAAAATGCCTACAATATTTTCAAATATTCCGTCTAAAGTTCGGTAAGGCGGATATCTAACTAAAGTTTGGACTTAGTTTAAGAGAATGTTATTAAAACTAAAGCTTTTAAGTAATGAATGGACATCAAAACTATGAAATACTAATAATAATTTATAAATACACTACAATAATGTAATCAGTTTGAAATTTAATTTAAGACCCCTTTCTAAATAATTTATGATTTGTCTTGCGAATGTCGGTGGTTTTATTTTCGTGTATCAGATTGTTTAATTTAAATGCTTCACGTTTGACAATCTTATGTTTTGGCAACATTTATTAGGTTAATACTGCTCAGAATAAAACAAAAGCCAATTTTGTCAATAGAGTTGATAGATAATAAAACTTTTAAACTATGTTACATTTGACGGTCACGCAACGTCGCCCGCCACTCGCCCGCGACGTGGCGGCGGCGTGGCGGGCGCGGCAGGGTTGCCAGGAGCGTCTATTATGATTGCAAAATACTACATTTTTTATGAAATTCTTTTAAATTTCTTACTAAACAGTTTTACCACTTACTAAAAAATGTCATTGTATTAGTTATGCTTCTAATGACAATTCGTAATTTATTACTGTATTAACATTTGTGCTTTAAAAAAATATACAATTTTAGTGAAGTCTATAAGCCCACATAGACAGAGGGCTCTGCATCAAGGCCACGTGCGGGGTTTCCTTCCCGCCCACGATGAGCAGGTACAGTGGCGTGTCCCCGGGCCTGGCCGCCCGCCGACCGACGTTCATGTCTTGCAGCTCTATGTCTCCAGGCGCAACTCCCGAGTCGGGGGTCAGAGCCAGGTTCAAGTTCCTCACATCTGGACCCAAGTAGTGAGGATTACTGAAACCGTTTCCCGATATTCTGTTCACTTTCTCGGCGCTGGCGTAGTCTGAAGTGGACATCTCGGTGTCCTCTTCGTCTGTAATGGTCACAGTTTTGGTGAACCGGACAGAAGCTGACTTGGGCATGACCACGGTGGTCTCGCTGTCCATTTTAACAGTGACGTCTCTCTTCCCGTTTGCTTCATCTTCAGAGTCCAGGTAGACGAGCTTGGTGGTTCGAGTGGGGGTTGTGACCATGTCCGCGAAGTCGGGCACGGAGAGTGGGTCACGCGTGAGGTCGGGTACATCCCCTTCCCGCGGGCTGCACTGTCCGCGCCGCTCCATGTGGAAGGCAGATTGTGACTTCGGAAGCGTCGATTCGGATGGAACTAAGCTTTCAGTAGAGTCCTTGTTCCCGGCGAGGGCAGTGTAGGAGCAGCGAGCGGCGCGACGGATGTGAAAGGCAGACAGCTTGGAGATTTCACGAAGGATGTTCCCAGGTGGGGGAGGAGGCCGCGCCAGGGTCGGGTGGGCGAGCGGGGGGGACCGGGGAGGAGCGCGAGGCGGTCGTCGCGGGAGGAGGATGGCGCACGTGTCGGTGCGAGGGGAGGGCCACTTTACTGTATTAGGAATGTGCTCCCATGTTTCTGTTGCTGGGAAAAAAATAAAAATTACTCCTTCGTAAAATTGAGTTTTATCTACATGTGCAGTGCATAGATTCCCAGTCCGATTTCGAAGAAACATAGATGGTATTAATTGTTATAGATATAAAATTAAATCAAAATTAAGTGATTGAGGGATTACTGGTGGCCCGGACGCGTTTCCAGTTTCTCCAGAACAAATGGACGAACAGAGACGCAGCCAGGAGGGGTGGGATTTGTTAACAGCTGCCCGAGCGACTCCGAAGGTGGCCTAACAAACCAAGAGCAACTGCTTCGCGAATTAATCTACTACCGGATCGGAATCGCGACCCGCAAAGAAGGTCCGGCGAGAAACTCAGCGGGCTGATGTATGGGTTAGGTTGCACGTCGAAATCTGTTAGTTTCGACGAGTATGGTTACCGGGGTCCCTAAGCCTGCTTCAGTGTTAGAGCTGAAGGCGTGTAATGCAAAGGTTATTGGATCGTATGGATCCGTAAGATGGAGCTCTTGTAATGTACATACTAGGCTGCACTAAAAGTATCGGGAATGGAATATTTCCACTGTTCCTGTCATATTAAAATCTTTTTAATTGAAAACTCCTTGGTTTTAAAAATCGAATACCATTTATTTATTTAAAAAAAGATTCTCGGTCTTGTCACGAGGTTTTGTCAAACTTGTTTAGTCGTTGAGAAAATGGAATTGACTCGAGAAAATTCAAGAGCGATGATTTATTATGACTTTCGAAGTGGTTTAACACAAAAACAGTGTGTTGACCGGATGATTTCTGCATTTGGTGATGAAGCCCCATCCAAAACCACAATTTATCGCTGGTTTGCTGAGTTTCAACGTGGACGTGTCAAGCTCAGTGATGATCCCCGTCAAGGTCGTCCAAAAACTGCAGTCACCCAAGAAAACGTTGATGCTGTGCGTAAGCTGATTGAGGAAGATCGACATGTGACATACCGCGAAATTCAGGCAACTTTAGACATTGGCATGAGTCAAATACAAATAATCTTGCATGAACAATTAGGTGTAAAAAAGTTGTTTTCCCGATGGATACCGCATTCGCTCTGTGAAGAGCAAAAAGCGGCTCGCGTTACTTGGTGCGTCAGAACTCTCGAAAGATTCCACGCAGGATCCTCAAATGCTGTATACAACATTGTATCAGGTGACGAATCCTGGATATACGCGTACGAACCCGAAACAAAAAACCAGTCACGAGTTTGGGTGTTCGAAAATGAGTTAAAGCCAACAAAAATTGTTCGTTCACGGAGTGTTGCAAAAAAAATGGTGGCCACGTTTGTCTCCAAAACCGGCCATGTTACGACTATTCCTCTTGAGGGACAAAGAACGGTTAATGCAGAATGGTATGCTAGCATTTGTTTGCCACAGGTCGTTTCTGAACTCCGTAAAGAGAACTGCAACCGCCGCATCATCCTCCATCACGACAATGCGAGTTCTCACACCGCGCACAGAACAAAAGAGTTTTTAGAGCAAGAAAACATAGAATTATTAGACCATCCGCCGTACAGCCCCGACCTAAGCCCTAATGATTTCTATACTTTCCCTAAAATAAAGAATAAATTGCGTGGACAGAGATTTTCATCACTTGAAGAAGCTGTGGACGCCTACAAAACGGCCATTTTGGAGACCCCAACTTCCGAATGGAATGATTGCTTCAATGATTGGTTCCATCGTATGGAAAAGTGTGTCAAATTTCGCGGAGAATACTTCGAAAAGCAATAAATACATTTTTAAATAGTAATGTTGTGTCACTTCGTTAATTCCCGAAATTTTCAGTGCCGCCCTCGTAATATGCAGTTTAAGGGGGGATAGGGAGTTTTTTTTTGTTAATTAACGTCATATTTATGACGAGCAAGAAATAAATAAGTTTGAGATTTAAAGAAGTGCTATTTACCAAAATGAAACCGCCACAGGTCGTTGTGCGGGTGTGAATGTGAGTCTCCCCCGAAGATGTAGAGGTGTGCGCGAGCGCGCGCCGCCGCGTGCCCACTGCGCGGCGCCGGGCCCGCACGCGCGCGCACCTCCCGCCACACGCGCGACACTGCGGCACCACGCGGTACATCGCCGCGGCACGTCACGCACAACGCCGCGTTGTGCATCACGTGCATGTGGTTATAGGGTTCGCCGCCCGTTCGGTCAACGCACGACTCATAGATGGACTATTTATTGGAGCGTCTATCTCAAGCCAATGTTCTAACTCATCAACACTTGTGACCGGTTGCGGTTTGTGCAATACTTATTTCATGTCACATTTAATAACAATAATTAAGAACGACTAACAGGATTTGAAATCAACGTTAGAATGATATCTAAAATCTAGCACTGACTTAGGTGACGGAGGCATAAAATAAGATGGCGCCACCATATCAAAAGGGTAACATCTTTTTCAAGCAAAGTATTTAAACAGATGAAGTATATAGAGGTACAGGCCTACTCACTGGTGTCGTAGAACCACAGGTCGGCGCAGTCCCGCAGGTCGCACTGTCCGCCGTGCACGTACAGGCGCTCGTCGTGCAGCGCGGCGGCGTGGCGGTGGCGCGCCGGCCCGGGGTTCCACGTCCGGACTTGGTGCCACGACTCGGATTCTGTAACAAATCGCGTTATTGCCAATAAACTCTAATGTACGGAGATTATAGAAACCCATGACGCAAATGCTCCCGTCTGAATGGAAGGATGTTGCAAGTTAACCTGCATAATGTAACCGCAATATCAATATGCAATAAAATAATTCGCGGACCCGCTTGCACAGCTCGTTTATAAGTTTGCATATTTCTGGTTTGAAGTAATCACGAGACGACCGCTTCTTTAAAATATAGGCAGCACGCACTTTCTTTATATCCTTAATATCTCAGGTGAAAAACTCTTACCATAGTGGAACGCCCAGAGTTCATTAGTGGATCCCTTCAAATCCTGGTACCCTCCATAAATGAGGAGACAGTCCTTAAGGGCATGAGCTGTGTGTCCCCTCCGACCTCGAGGTCCACTGACAGCGCCACGAGGGTCCCTTGCGCGACGACGCACGGAGGAAGTGTAGTTCACTTGGCCGGGAAGCTTGCGCCAGATTTGTGTCTGAGAGCAAATACGCAATTTCGTGGATTTGGGAAATTGGAATATGTTTATATGTCAGAATATTTTGTTATAGTGTCTACTAAAAAACTATTTTGAAAAGCACTAAGCTGTGCTGTGTTCCGCCTCTCTGATGCAAGCGATAGATGTAAGTAGATTGTAAAACTGCAATATGACAGTTGAATGTATTTCGGTATCGTCTAACCCAGTGGTGGGCCATAAAGTTTAAGAAATTCTAAAGGAGGGCCAGAATTATAGAAAAAAATGCATTTTGTATTAAAGCTTTTTAATAAACAAAATACCTTTTACTATTACGCCTTGTTAGGCGTGTGAGACGTGTGATAGATAGGTGAAAATAATGGTTGTTTTCTAATAAATAAGCTAACACCTGTGACAGACTGCCGAGATAATTATAATGATGGAAAGTTAATTATGAAATAGTGAAAGCTCAAAACACCCCTGACGAATTGGAGCTTTCATTAAAAATTCGAAGATTTTCAATTATAAACGTCAATTTTATTTTACGCGCCAAAATGCTGACTTGAATATTTAGGATGAATGGACTCTCGGCGGGCCGGATTAAATACTTCCACGGGCCGCAATTGGTCTGCGGGCCGTGCTTTGCCCATCACTGGTTTAACCCATGCATTATCCCACTGAGTTTCTCGCCGGATCTTCTCAGCGGGTCGCGATTCCGATCCGGTAGCAGATTCATTCGCGAAGCAGCTGCTCTCGAGTTGTTAGGTCTCCTTCGGAGGCGCTCGGGCAGCTGTTAGCTAATCCCATCTCTCTTGGCTGAGCCTTTTCTCGACCATCAGTCTTGGTGAAACTATAAAGGGCTCCAGGCCACCAGTAAACCTTTAATCATAAAAATACCTCTGTATCGTATATCCAGAGCGGGGTCTCGTTGGTGAGCGCCCCCGCCTCGCCGCCGAACACGTAAATCCTGTGCCCGTGCGCGGTCGCCGTGTGCTCTTGGAGAGACGGAGGATGCTCTCCGCGACAGTCCAATTTCTCCCAGTTTCCTGTTACTGGAAATAAAAATTCAAGAGGATTAATATTGTTGCCTCATAATTTAATAACAGTTGACCTTCTCGTAGGTCTACTGTCCACGATCACCGAGAAGATTCCTGGTCGGAGGCAGTACTTTTGTGGAAGATACTTAAGAACCCGGAATCTGCATATACTCTAATATGTGTCTGTTTTTTATTTTAATGAGTTCTTCTTCGAAAAGGTCGCATGTTTTTTTTATATCAAACGGACGGAGCCGCTTTCATTTCACGTCTAAGGGTTTTGATTATAATCTTTTACGGGTCACACAAACGACGTTACCACAAACTTAATAGCGAAATGAGCTTGAATTATACATAATAATAATATATAACAGTTAAAAGAAACAAAATTTATTGAACTAATAACAAATACTGACTTGAATAAGAAATTTCTGATGGTTATTATGAAAACAAAGGAAATTTAAGACTGAAGGCCAAGCCACAGATTCAGAAGATAAAAGAAGAAAATAAGAAAACATTTAATGAAACAAGAAAATCTAGTTAAAGTTATGAGTTGGAATAAAATGAAATATGAGTTTTTAAATAATTTTCGATGTAGAATAGTTTTGGCTAAAATACTTTTTTTGTGAGAAGATCTGAATGAACACGCAGTCTACTTACTGATCGAGCGACACTGGTATACCGTGCCTTCTCTCCGCGCTGACACCGCGTTTCCTCACCTATATTCCTATTTGTGTTGAAACAATAACGCCACTTACATCTTACGGGTCAATAAAAGACCATTCGACTTCGACCAGTTCTTGACCCAATTAGCTCGGGAACGTGATTCGTCTGAAGTGTCTCACGAGTGTCGGTTCGTGCTGACTTCGAGTTTCAATGGAACATTTTCCCCGGAGATGCTCATTTCAAAAGATGCTGTGAACTTTCAATGGCGCTTTGCGATCTCTGTGCCGACTTTAGTATGGGATTTTTGCTTTGCGACAAAAATTAGGCCTATTTTTAGTGCAACTTTGTGGAAGACTTTTTTTTATAACAGAGCACACAGAATGTCAACATCACGAACATCTCATTGAGATCGTTCGGGAGAGCTTGGACTGTTCATGGAAACGCTCTACATTGGTCTACATCGTATGTAACGGCCTCATCAAATACTTACTAAGACTATATCTCCAGAAATCTCTGAGCGGCACGGAACCTCCAGACCCTCGCCCCCCCAGCACGTACACGAAGCCCCCTAGTAAGGTCGCGGAGTGCTTGCCGCGGGAGCACGGCGCAGACTTGCCGTCCGCTCCTCCACTGTCGACCAGGCTCCACATCTCATCTAAAAAAATATTAGATTTTAATTCAAGAAACATTTCAGTTCGGTCGGCTCATTGGCCTGCTGATTAGTCGTGACCTCAGGGCCCCTGGGACTAAGTTTGGGGTCCTAGTTTGGGTTGTTAGCTGTAGGTAGTTTGACTTTTATTTGTGGCGCAAGTCATGTCATGCGTCACGTCAGCGTAACTCTCTTTATTTTGTTATTATAATTATGCTCTCTTTAGATATTCTTTACACAATGCGAAATTAACATGTGCCTACGATTTTTTGTTAATGTATTGTACGTATGTATTGTATTAACATTGTTAATATCATGGATAGTTTTGTTATTTAAGGTATTTAAGTTAATAGTGTTTCGTGCCCACTTCCGTTTCCAATGAGAGGCACATAATCTTAGACTAATTTCCATTTTACGGGCTAATTTTGTTCGGTCATTTTTATTTACAATTTCCGGTGAATTTAGATAAAAGTATGCACGTCAGTCAGCCGCGGGTCGAGCAGCCGATATAAACGCGAGATTAAATTGTAAAATGTGTTCAACCCGTACACGGTTCGCCTAAATCTCGGAATACACAGTGTTAGTGTTTAAGTCAAGATTCATTAAATTGTTATTATTTGTACTGTCATATTTCGGAGGCTCACGCAGACAGCCGCGTTAATGTGGTGTCGACCCTCACTGCGCCCGGCTGTAATCACAAATATTTCGACTTCAAAGGTTTTCCCTCTAGAATTTCACAATTTCTCCCCCTAGTCTTGTTGATATCTCCAACAACCCCGAGCGAGGGGTAAATGAAATGCTCCCGTATCCCTTAAGGCATGTTTGGGGACACATTTTTTTGTTTGTAGGGTTGAAACCGCATAAGTAAAATTATCGAGTGTACAAATGTTGTAGAAAGTATGAGGAGACTTTTTATATCGCGCAGAAATCCTGTATTCTGGTCTGCATATAAAACATTACATTATAATAAAGTTCGACAGCATATTATCTGAAGCAGCGCCAGTAACATGAAGTATTTTCTACGGGGATGGTCTCTAGACCCCTTTACTAAATGAACGAATTAGCAAAGTTTTGCTTACTAGAAAGCTAAACTTTTACAAAGGGCTATGGGTCAAATATCTTGTGGTAAGTAAGTTTTCATTTTTAAATTCAGTAAAAACTCTTTATTCGCGCTTTCTTCAATCGCGTATTCGCGGATTAAAAATTGCGACCCAATTCCTATATTCGCGATTAAGATTTCTTTATTGGCGGATCTAATCGGTACATACACGTTGATAAAAGGGATTCCAATATGTAGGTGTCTAATCGAATGTCCTTTGTAAACGCGGCCTCAAAAGGACTAATAAAAAAAAAACACGTGTGGACTCGGGGACAGCCGCGGTAAAGCTATTGCATAGCATTTTTTATAATTAGACAATAATAATTTAATATTAAAACAGTAATAAAATAAGACCATGCTATATTTATAAACATTAACGAAAGCAAAACATTAACTGTCCCCTTCACACTCATAAGCTAGACCGCGCGAGAGAGAGATGGGCAGACTTTTCGTGATGCGCATGCAGTGCGACGTCAAGCCGCACGCTTAAGCTTTGTTCGGGCTAGGCGAGTATTTTAGTCGAGTACCGAGTAATTTAGTAGCGAAATGTCTGAGCACCAAAAATTTAGTCGAGTAGGTTAGTAATTAATTTAGTCAAGTCAATCCATTTTGTTCTATGTTTTCGGGCGAGTAGCGAGTAGTTTAGCCACTAAATTACTCGGTACTCGACTTAAATACTCGCCTAGTCCGAACAAGGCCTTATTCACAAACACTACACAAGCGCAACATTTGAATGTGTTGACGCGAGCTAGATGGTAGGCGGTGTAGGGGATGTTAGGTTTTATTTTCGTTACGGAATTTCTTGATTCGGTCGCCGCGCTCAAAGCCCGCGATAAAAGCTATGCAATAGCTTAAAAAAGAAAATAGATCTTATTACTATTACGCCTAGAGTATGTTTTTATTTTGTCACCTAGAGAAGTATCCCCAGGAATAATCCCATATATGTATTTATGTATATTACTATTCGATATTCACGGTTCCTATGTTCGCGACATATTTACGGAACATACACCCCGCGAATAGAGAGATTTTATTGTATTGTACATAGATATATCCAGTATGGGTTTTTCTATGAAATGTACGGAAATCCCATTTGTTTATTATTTACGGTAATTAGTTTATCTAAATGTGATCAGTGCGCTTGCAATAGCGCCGAAATATTGAGAACTTAATAAAAGCAATAAGAATTAACACAGAAGAAAATCGTGGTAAAAACCCATTGAATAAATTCTAGTACGGGGCAGGACATCTAACATGATCGTATTTTGTTAGGTTATGGTTATAAATCACGGATTCGGTTACTTCACCCCGGCTTCCTCTGCTATTAGGTACCCTCCTTAACAACAATATTCTCAACAGATTTATTTGGATAGGTAGGCGATTACAAATAAATACCATGAATTAATAAAACAAAAATATATTATTTATAAGCAGCTGCTTGGCTCGTTAATGGTTGGTCCACGGCCATAGGGTCTGGTGATCACTATCAGGCGGTCTACCGACAGGGTCCATACGAACATAAATGTTGATTACGTTTCGTTTATATGTAACGCTCTTTTGACACAGTAGGGTAAATATTTGGTGACGTATATTTTGGCACTACAACCAGCCCTACCGCGACGCAACAGAGGGAAACAGCCCTCCTGACGAGCCCCCTGTACACGAGTTGTCGTCGACTTGTAAATATTGGAAGACACGAAACATGTTCTTGCTGTTTCCTAACTTATTATTCTATGACGAATCAATTGTTGGTTAAATAATATCGTCATTTATTGTCATCCACGAAATTGTAATGGTTCGAAATTATAAGTGTATATTATCCAGTCCATGGATCTAGTCTCGGGTGGGCGACACCTAAATAACAAATTCGGTCTCAGACTAATATACCCTGTTTGTTGTATGCAAATGTTTTTGCACTGCACGCAATTTTATGATCCAATTTGATTATCGCATATCTCGCTGATCTGATTTCAAGGACAGGAAAAAAGTGTTTATTTGATCGATAAAGTATGTGAGTAAATGCTGGGAATAAGCGTTGCGTAACAATAAAAAAACTTCATAGATGATACTAATTGTTTTCCTAAAAGTTTCTGTCCTAAAAGCATTCAAACATTCAATTTCTGTACTTTAATGCTTGAATACTTGTGTTTAATGTAAAAATCTTCAAATCTGGTTACATTCATTCAACTAGTAATATGGACTTAACAACTCTTTTTTAGTAATAACCGTAAAAGGAGGATGGATAAAAATTAAGAAAAATCAATCAGATTTGAAGTTAGTGATTAAGCAAAATTGTTCGCTCGCTGTTTTTTCATTAATAAATTTTTGGGTTAAAAGTGTAGTTTTAACAACTTGGATAATTAAAAATGCAACTTTAATATGACTTAGTGAATCTGTTTTTCCCATGTCTTACTGTAAGCGTTTTAGGGGTAATGGTCATTGGACACATATTGTTGTACTTACATACGTTACAGACTTAGTATTTTATTTTGTCGAATCTAGCTTTGTGTAAAATTGTGAGGAAGCACTCCGAACTGCTGCAAGTTAAATAGAGCTTCTAATGTACTTGTATCACAACTGGAGCTACATAATGGATATTACTAACAAAATTCGACAACGTATTAAAAAACATATTGAGTATGCAACATACACTCAACACGGCTCAACGATTTCTCCATTGAGTGAAGCGCTTGAAGCCTCGTGCGACTAACTAACCATACTCGTAATGGCTGATTAAATATTCAAAAACATTCCCCCGTAATCAACGCAACCCTTTGTCAAGTGACAAATTAACTTAGGTCCCTCGTGTCTGGGCTTGTCACCCTTTTACGCTGAAAAAACTAAAATGAAGGGACGCGGGAGAGACCTTTTTATTTTTGGACTGCAACCACAATACTGGTTTGATTACAATCACGAATGTGGTGAACAATAAGTTACAGTCCACGCAAAATTATACGTTTCCAGAAATTAAGAATTAGAAATATAGCATGAGACAAGAGACAAAAATACACAAATCGTGGAGATTGGCAGCAAGCTCTGTCATGTCTAATGTCTCGTCGACAATAAAACGGCGTGCTCTGTTGCTTTCTTTAAGAATGAACCCATTCAGGTCGTCGTCTGCAGCACAGCCGTTTATCCTATACAACTTAGATAAAGTAATATCTTTCGTTGGAGCACAAATTTCAAAGATAGACGACCCTTTTATGTCCTATTGAAGGAGAAATTAGTGTATTGTCACTTTCTAGGTTCGGAAGCTAGAGTTACAATAGAGCTGTTTTAATACTCGTGTATGTAGAAGAGTCTTTAATGTTCGCTTAAGTCATTAACATTATTCTGACGCCTTATAGAGCGAACAAATCAAATTGAATTTCTTTTCTAATGAAGTTAATATTAGAAGCAAATATATACTAGATGCAGTACCTAACTGGATACTAATAAAATAATACATCGTTATTTTAAGCTAATGTCTAACTTTGGCTAACGGGTAATCACTACGAGGAGAAGATGGACTTTTTTGAGCCCGTACCGAACTGAGACGAACCATAAGCTTCTCTGTTCAGTTATAGCATAAGAAAGCTTATTATAAAGGTTTTGCAGCTTTCAGTCAGATCTCTTCATAAGAGAAATACTGTAATATTTGACTGGAACAAACGAGGCTATTTGCCCACCAATATCAACGAAAAACCCATGCCAAGCATAGCATAGCGCTGTAGTTTTTGCTCGAAATATGATGCCGCGCACATAACTTATCTTGGACGTATAACTGGCAGATCTGCACCATACAAAACTCAAATATATGTAAGTGGCAATGAGCTGTATCTAGAGATTAAATAATCGGTGTAGGTGAATTTTTCTTATAGCTAACACCGCCTTTGGCGAAGACTCATTTATATTGTTCTGACGCCTT